AATAAATTTGTGAGGAAATTTAAAAAGAAACAACAACAAAAATAAATAAATAAATATTAAAATTAATTAATTAATTTAAATTTACGTAAATAAATGAATAATTAATTAAAAAATTATTTTTTTGGAAGTTTTGGGTTTTATTTTAAATATTAATTGAATTGATACATGAAAGATTAAAATGATTTAGAAAATAATGTGAAAAATATTATTAATTAATTAAGTAAAATAATATTTTTTCATAGAAAGTTAATTTTTAGAAAATTAATTATTTAAATAAAAATAAATATTTGATACTAAAATAAAAATTAATAAATAATTTAAAAATTAAAAAGAACAGATGAAAATAATTATTTCTTAATTTAAGACAGAGCTATCTTAAATGTCCGCAATTCTGAGCTAAAAAATCCGCAAAAACTTTGTTGCTGGAGGCGAAAATTTTTAGGATTTTGGAAGGCCTTAAGAGAATAAAATGACATTTTATTATACAAATTACAAAAAAATATTTTAAAAAATCCACATAATCTTCAAAAGACCCCAAGATTCCGTTAATTCGCATTTCCTAAAATAATCCTCATCGGCCTATCAAAAACAACAAAATTTTACAAAATCCATTCGAGCCCTGACCTAGAGAGATTTATTTTGCCACACTATTTCTTTTATTGAAATCTCGTATCCCGACAATTATTGCTTCGCGTCCCGAAATAATTTTAAAACACAGTATTTTTAATAAAACAATTTAAACCGTATATCCGCTTCCGAGCTTCAGGGACACACTAAAAGATCAAGAGAAAATAAAGTTTATTTGGGAGTTAAATTACTCCCATGCAAAAATACTAAAGAGCTTAATGACCAAGTACAGTTAACGTTTAAAACATTCTTAGAAATGAAAATTTATTAACAAATAATCGACGGCTAGCAAACATGTGAGAGAGAAGAATACAAGTAAATAGTATTCTCTTTTTCTTTAATTCTTTTCTCCTTAATATATACAATTGTTCCTACAACACAACTATTCTGTCTTCTTTTCCTTTTTTAACCTGTATTCTAAGGATTGTTGACGACAGGTTATTAACCGGTATTCCCTTTTGGCCGGTTTATGACTCCCGGTTTTCGATTTTTGATTGACTTCCGGTATTTGGTTAACCGAAACCGGTTTGCGCCTGAATTTTAATCCAAATATCATAAAAGAGAGAATATTTTTTTGATTTTTAAAAAACTTATTTAAAAAACAAATTAAAAAAAGGATAAAATATCAACAATTAATTTAAATAATAATAATTATTATTTGTAGTAGAAAAGGCGTTATTGCCGGCTTCATCACGAGTAAACAAAATAATAAACTTAAAAAACTTATTTAAAAAAAAAGAAGAAAATATTAAAAAAAATATTTTTCCGAAAATATTAATTTAAAAAATAAGAAAAGCTTTACGGGTTAAAAATTTTAAATTTTAAAATTAATTATGTAAAAAATAAAGAAATTTTATGTAATTAAATATCTATTTTTTTAATTTAAAAAATTTTTTTATAAATTATTTAGCATTGTTTTACAGACGTATTTAAACATACAATTTTTATAAATATATTTAAATATTTATACGTTATTTCCTTTTTGTTTCAAAATTTCTTTAATTTTTTAGTTATTGTGTGTAAAATAAGGAATTATGTGACGTAATTTTTAATTTTAAATTTCATTGATTTCAAAGAAAAAGGATAAAAAACTAAAAAATGTGCAAGGAGGAAATTTTCAATACATAGATCTTTTCGTGTTACAAGTAGAATGATCAAAAAATAATCACTAAGAGGAAAAACAATTAAACCCTAAAATTTTTTGTTAAAGAGTTAAAATAGACGGAATGAGTTGAAGCAAACTTTTTCGACAAGAAACCTTAGTTTTCGCCGAAACTGGAACTTTGGAAAACATGAATTCACGTTTTTAAAACAACTGGGCAGAGGCCACCAATTTAATAACTTTCTTTTAATTATCCCAAGCATCCCCTATCAAAGGGGATTAAGTCCATTGGTGCAATTCTCAAATATTTCCCAGATACAGGTAACAACTTTCCCTCAATGACAGAATGTTTACCACCTATTTCCCCCATATTGCCTAAATATTTCAGTACTATTTTTGTAACATTTTGGCTGATCAAAAAACAAGTTTGTTAAAAAACAACGTAATAAATTATTTACGTATTTTAATTCCAATCTGATCAATGTCAGGGAAACTTTTTCGAAACAAAAAACTAAGAGGATCTTAGACAAACAAAACAAACATATACGTAGGTGTAAACAAACGCAAATATTTTTTGTTTTGTCAAAAAAAATAATTAAAAAGAGGAAATTTAATGATATTTTTAACGAGTACTTTTTTTAAAACAAAAATGCGTAGGCAAAAAGAAAATATTTTTTGTAGTCGAAATAAACACCAATTTAAATTATTGTTTTGATATTTAAAAATGAAATCAAGCCAGAAAATGATAAGTGAAATACAGGCGTGTTAAAATAAGTTTTGATATTCTTCTAATATTTTAAGTTAAATGATCGGAAATTCAACATTAAAGACAATCCATTTTTAAATACCAAAATCGTCATTGCTAGCCTCTTAAGTCGCCAGTGGCGGGATTTTCGCCACCTCGAAGAAAATCCTAAAAGAACAGATTAAATCAAATTTAAAAAGAAAATTCACTCACTCGTGGCTGTACTTGCGGAAAACATTTTCCATTTGAGGGAAAAACGTCTTGCGCTGAAGAATCATCTTGTTAAGTTTCCACATTAGACTTTCAATTTTATCCAATTTGTACCCAGAACTCTTCTGTGCCACCATAAGAAACTAAAATTTAAAAAAAATTTTTATAAAAATATTCACAAAAAATTCTTACCCAATCGTTTGCAGCTCCTTTCATACGTTTTGCAAGCAATAACGCAGAAATGGCAATCAGCGACTCAGAATGACGGCAAAAACTCAGCGACATTAAAGCAGTCTCCAAAATATAACGAGCAAGCGTTAATGTCCCCATGTCTTCTTTGGCAATCTTAAATTGAAAAAAATTTTAAAAGTATTCTTCAATCACAAAATAATTACCCTAGCAAAACGGCGCAGAAAGCGATATGAGAGCGGAGCTCCCAAGTCAAATCCAACCACTTTAAGCATACGACGCTCCATTGCCATAAGTTGATCAGGCTTGAATATTTCCTCTGACATGTAGACAAGATCTTCAATGAGAGGCGGAGCACGTTCCTAAAAAATATAAAAATAAATTGTAAACAAAAATTTTCAAACGTCAAATTTCGAAGCAATAAAGATTCCAGTACAAGCAGCCAATTGAATATCATCGCGAGCAACAACGCCAGGCGAACGATCCATAAAGAGATCAAAAAGCTTTACAGCCAAATAAAGAGTCTCATGATTAAGTTCAAAAGTCTCCTGCAGTCCAATTAACCAATCAACCAAAGAACCGCGAACCGCCATGTCAATATTTGGCTGTCGTTTCGAGTAGTCGCTAATGTGGAAGAACTTCTTAAATGAATTACAAGATTAAATAAATTTAGAAATTTAAATTAAACCTCTCTAAATTTATAATAGAGGAAAATGTCCGAAGCATATTCTGCCATAGCACCCATGTCTCCAGCACTTTCAGCATCAAAATCAGCAACAGGATCTGGCGACTTAACAGCCAACTCCAAGATCTGTTCGTTCTTCGGTGAGACAACCACTTCGAACTAAAAGTTTTTTATAATTAAAGTATTACAGGAATAAAAAAAGCTTAACCTCTTCCACTTTGTTTGAAGCGCTCGCGATATTTTGATCTGAAACCTTCTTTGATGAGTTGATATAAAGTCCTTTCGTGATGTCCTAAAGAAAAGAATAATCTCTAATAAAATCATCCAAACCCAACCGGAATAACTGGCGATGCAACAGAAGTGCAAGCACGCTTCGGCTTTGGCTCGTCCTTAGACCCATTCTTCTTCGCCTCTTTGTCATCCTTTATGATTCGAGCAGCCTGACGTTTTGTTGCCGCGTTAACTCCTTGTGTTGATTTCTTCCGATTTTGTTCATTGTCTTTTTGTTGAACGTTTAAATCGCGATTGCGAAGGATCATTATTCAAAATGTTAGTTCTTTTTAATATATATGATCTGAAAAAGAAAAGAATTAAAAAGTTGTGACAAAAAAATAAAATTTGATTAGAAAATAGGTAGGAAAAAATAAAAGATTTTGTTAGAAAATGGGTTTAGGATTTAAATTTAATGAGCTTTTATAGTAAAACAAAACAAAAATAATAATGAATATAGACGATGGATATGTATGACAATAAAATTAAAACGGTGAATCAGACTTGTAAATCGAAGTACAAATCAAAAACTAAAAAGTGGAAATAGAAAAAAAACGAAAGAATTAACAACCGAACAATTAATTCCGGTCAATAAGAAAGGAAAATTAAAACAAGAAAAAGGACGCAATCGATTTTAAATATTTTGAATACAAAAAACCGCGATCATGTTTTCGTGTTAAAAAATTTTTACAAAAATAAAACAAAATTTTCAAACAAGAATCGCCGTGCTAAAACATAAATCAAAACAAACATTAAAATACCAACCATCTTTCTGCTAAACTTCTCCAAATCTTTTATATTTTTTTCAATTTTCAACCTTCGATTTCAAATTTTTATTTTTCGTTCGATTTCGAAAATATTGGAAAATATTTTCGATTTTAATAATATTTTTGAGCTTTTCGATTTTCAAATATTTTGTTTAGAAACAGCTCTGTCCGGGGAAATTAATTAAAACTGTGGTTTCATAATCCAAATTTTAACATAAAAATGTCTGACGTTTTTTCTAGTTAAATTATTTTAAACAGAATTTAAATGAAAGATTAAATTAAAGAATTTCGAAAAAAGTAATAATTAAAATATTCAAAATTTTAAATTGTGTTCCCTTCTACGAGTTGTATATTTTCCAGCAAATTTTCTCGGCAACGATTTTGTTCGAATAGACTAAAATTTGTTTAAAAAAATATATTTATTTTTACTTTTGTATTAATTCTTTTATATTCATTAATCCAATTTGTTCCCTGCTTAATTGGTTCTAACGATCGACGATTTATTCGTCCAGGTAATAAGTAAATCTTTAAAGTAGGCTGGGAACGTTGTACAAGCAATTCTTTACTAAATTTATTTTTAAACTTTTATTTGTGACAAACTATATACTTCTTGGGGCCGCCCATACTAAAAACTAGCGTTGCCAGCTCGTTTGAACCGAAACTCGAAAGATCGAACGATCTGGGGCTTTTCAGCTCGAAAACGAACAAAAAAAAATAAGCTAAAAAATGCACCGAACGTCGGCTCGAATTGAAAACGGCAACCCTACTAAAAACATTAAAAAAATAATCTAAAAATACCTAAAAGTATTATTCTCATCTCGTTTATTTTTCTCCTCTTCATTATCCATTATTAATTCTGCACGCCTAAGCCTTGCAGAACGAACTCCATAACGACGAAGTGCAGAATCACAATGTGTTAATAAATCTAGTAATGCTGGTAAAAGCTGTAATTCGTCTTCAATCTTTCTATTTATTAAATTAATTCTTAATTTTGCAAGATGGAAAAGAATCTAAAGAGAAAAAAATATTTTCTCTCAAGAATAAAGAAAAATATTTTAACATGTAAAAATCCTCGAAAAGGCAAGGCAGGTGCACCCGAAGAGACAACAATTGCTGTCTTCTTATCATTTCCAAAGAAAAGGCTAGTAATTTCATCAAATTTCTCTTCTAAAGCATCACAAGTTATTAAATTTGTTAATTCACATTTTCTAAAAATTTTACTTTTTCTATTAAAATTTCTATAAAAAAGTACCCCCCTAAAGTTTCAGGGATCAATGGATTTGAAATCACCCCTTAATCATAGTTCCAAAGCCACCGAACAGAGGCCCCTAATCCAAAAATATAAACAGCAATCACAAATCTTTCCTTACGGCAAAAACGTGAAAATTGTGGGGAGAAAGAGAAAAGAAACACAAACGTAACCAAATTATTACCTAATAAAGGCACGAATTGCTGGTAATGAAATAAGAAGTGTTTGTTTTATATTACAAAATTGCAAATATAAATAAACTGCTTTATCTAAAACTAACAAATGTTTACTTGTTTGTCCATAATTTATTGGGAATACCTTAAAATAATTATTTTAAAGATATTTTTTTCTTTAAAAACCTCAGATAAATGAGGCTTTTTTGTTCTATTTAAAAGTCCTAAATCATCAATGGTACTTTTAGATGATAAATTTCCAATTGTAGAGGCTATTGATAATGTTGATCCAATGGAGTTTTTATCAAATTTTTGGTCATTTAATCCACCAACAAAATTGCTAAAAAAATTTTTCTTGGAAAAATTTCTTGGAAAAATTAATTTTTTATTAAAAAGAAAATTTCTACTATGCTATATTTTAATAATTTAGGATAATAGATACATAATAAAGGATAATAAATTAATAAATTTTAAAGATTACTTTGGGCCTGAAAAATAATATTATAATTAAAAATGAGGGTTATCCTAAATCAGGGGTATCGCTTATTTTTTATTCACTTAGAGAAACAAAAAAATTTTGAATACCTTTTCCCAGCCAATTTAGTTTGATTTTCTTTATATAAAGGATAATGGTATTCAAGTTGATCAAGAACCAAAAGTAAAGTGTCTCTAACTAAAGGAACTTTAATCATCTAAAAAAATTTAAAAATTTTTAATTTTATATTTTTCCTTCATTACTTCATCAACAACAGATCTAACAGGTTGTTCTGATATATTAAGTGGTGGAGGGATTTCTGAGTTTTCTATCCAAATATTCTCATTTTGTGTCAAAATGTGATCGACGCTTAATGAAGGTGATGAATTAACTTCGAGAAGAATAGGGGTGCCATCTTGCCGTACAAGAATATCTAGACCAATTATCTTTAAAAAAATTAATTTTTGTTTAAATTTTAGTCCATTAATGATGTAAGAAAATATTTAGAATTTAAATAACTTTACTTGGAAACATTGAGGTGCCTGATATTTAAAATCACAAAAATGATGTTCATAATTAAGCATTAATTCTGGAACCATTGCTAACACAGTCTTTACTATAATTAATTTAATTTCACGCCATAAACGGCGAGTTCTCACTCCTTTGTGTTCCATTTGGTGAAAAACAGTAGAAAGTAGTCTTTTACTTCCTTTTTAAATTAGAAAAAAATTTTTTTGTTAATCTTTTCCCGAAAAGAGAATGAGAATGAAAGATGATAATTTGTTAAAAATTTCCCTATCTTCACTCTATTAAGAGTAAGGTAAAAGTTTAATCCCGGGCAGGCTTCGATCCTGCGACCTCGTGGCAGTTATTGCTAGGCGCTTTCGCTCACCACATACAGGTGCTTTACCAACTGAGCACCGAGACGCTGTTTTCATCTTCTCTTTTAATAGAGCTTAAACCCCCGTCCAGTGAGTGTTTTAAAGCCTAGCCAGCTGGAACTTTCTCTTCCTTACAATTATAAAGAAGAAAAACCTTTAAGTTGTTCTTTTAATGATTTACTGTGAATATAAGCATTATTTGCTTTATTTAAAGAATAATTAGTTAAATGTGCATAAAGATTAGAAAAATTTTCTTTAGTCGGCATTCCCGGATATTTTTCAGTACAAAAACGAGCCATTCCTTTATAATAAAAAAAATATTTTTTTTAATTCCTTTTCACCTTCTCTGGCTACATAAATTGATAAAGGATTAAGGCTTCGAATAACTGCATAAACACGTAGATCGAATTTCAATCCGTCAGAAAGTAGATAGGGATCGGGCATATATTCTTGAATAAGCTGGCGATTGGAAGTTGTTTGTAATAGTTCTGATGGTGAACTAATTAAATAAATGCCAGTTCCTTGAGCACCTTAAATATTTAAATAATATCAGGGGTTTCTCTTTATCTTTTTCATGTAAATTGGCCTCAAAAATAAAATTGATTCTTTTAATTCAAAAAAAGTTACCTACCATCATCCGGTTTAACAATAAAACATTTATTATTTGTTTCCTCAAAAGTTAGGCAATAATCACTAAATTCTTTTAATTGTGCAGGAAGAATCCAACTTTGTGGATAAAAACTGTATTCTGAAGGAAAAAGCTCACGCATAGAAACAATTGCTTGGGTAAGTGTTACTTTCTTTGCAAGTTCAGTCATTCCTATTTTTTTAAAAAATATTTTTGACATTCAAAAAAATTTGCCTGGAAATTTATTTACTCGAGCACCAGATTTAACAACAGAATTCATATCAGGAAAGACAATACTATGCCAATAAATATCACAAGGATGCCCATCGTCCCTAGGCTCTGTAAACTCCTTTAAACCTAATTGACGGGCACAAAAAGAAACGACAGGGGCATTACTGAAAATATTAAAAATAATATTTTTATTAAAAATATCACAATTACCTTTTTGCACGAGATGTGTCAATACTAAATTTATCAAGAGATTTTCCACGTGAAGAGGGTGAAGTTATCCCTTGGGGAGAGGGCCCAGAAAACATTAATTTATTATTTAATCAACATAAATATCCTCTCTATTCTTCGAAAAAATTATTTAAAATAGTAAAGAAATTAACTAAAAAATATTTTAAAATCATTGGAGCAAAGAGAAAGTTGCTAGGGAAACGCTAGTAAACAACAAAGAACAATGGGAATAATAAAAAATTTAAGAGATTATTTGTTCAAATTTTTTTGAGAAGTAAAAAAAACTTTAAATTAGTAGCCTTAAAAATTTTTTAGACTTTCGTCATTTTTCAATTTGCACGAGATCTACTAAAATTTATTTAACACTAAACTTTTCCCTAATTTGAAATTTTCTGAATAAATGTATAGACCTTTAATTTTATATAAGATTTATATTTCATTTTCTTTACAAAACTTACAATATAATAAGTATTTAAAAACATTTAAGAATTGAAAAAAATATATAAAAATTTCCTTTTTAAATTTCTCCTCTCCACATTTTTCCAAGTGTACCTTCAAAAAATCCCCAAAGACATACTGGTATTAAAGTGAAAGGTATCAAATAAATCAAGGCAGGTTGGCCAGTTTCCATTAAAAGTAAAGCAACAAAAGTACAAAACATTCCAAAAGAATAACCTTTAAATAAATTAAAGAGATACATTTTTACCAAATTAAAGAGAACCAATTAAAGAGATTAATCCATACAAATGAAATTTACTCTTTTTAATTAAATCAACATAAAAACAATAAGCAATTAAATACCCTAAAATTATTTTTTAAAAATATTTTTTTAAATAAAAACTTGCCGGGAAGAATTACATCCCCTAAACCGAGCAAAACATTTTTAAATTCTCTTTCGACTTGTATATCAAAACATTCAGCCATAGGATCAGCTAATAAAGGCACGTAAAAAAGTAATGGAAGCTTAAAAAATAAAAAATAAAAGAGAATTTTTATTTCCAAAAATTATCAAAATATTTTTTTAGAGTAATAACTAGGGTTGTTCCCAGGCGGGGGTGGGGAGGGCCACGAGGATAACTTTTCGGGGAGGCAGCGCCACAGGGGAAGGAGGGGAGAGGGTGGATTTTCAAAAAAACTCAAATTCCCCGACTTTCGGGGACGGGGAACAACCCTAGTAATAACCAAATAATTATTTTATTAAAAAATATTTAAATCCACCTTTTCAGGTATTTTTGTTTTTATATCAATGGGAGCAACTGGTTGAAACTCTCCCTCCGGTAATCTTGTTGGTTGACAATCAGTACCCGTAACCACCTAAAAATAAAAAAATAATTTTTTAATTCTTTGTTAATAACCTGTAACATAACAGAACATCCATCTGAAGTAAGTAAACGAGTTCCAAAAACCATAAAAAGATCATAGACAAAAAAGGCAAGTAAAAAGAAAGTAATTAACTAATAAATTAAATTTAAAAAATATTTTATTTTTCAAAAATTTACCCGTAAACTTCTAATTCTGCTAAATCTAATTGCATAAATACAAATAGTAATATTGATAAAATCTAACAAATAAAATGCATAATAAGTGTTTCGAATATAAAACCAATAGAGACAAATACTCAAAGAAAAAATGAAAGAGAGGGTTGAAAATAATTTAAATGGATTATCCAAAAAAGATTTTTTGGAAGAATTTTGTTGTTGTTGAACTAAAAAAGGAGAGAGATTTAAATAAATTAAAAATAAAAAACAAACGGGAATTCGATGAATTTGGAATATTTTGTTGATTATTTAATTCCTCTCTTCTTTTATTAAAACAAAAGAATATTTGTCGTAAAGAAAACATTTCATATTCATAACCATTCAATAAATACTGCAAAATAGCATAAACACAACTTTTAATTGCTATTGAACCAAGGAAAATTAAAAAGAAATTGAAACCATTTACTTTAAAAAAATAAAATTAAAAATTTAATTTTTAATTAAAAAAACCAGCATAATCTCTAAAGAAAAAGGCAAACATTAATATAAAAACAACAAAAGATAAAGCAATAAAAACTGAAATACAATGCTGCCAAACACTCATATTTGCAAGTTCTGAGCTTTGTGAAGAACGTTTTCTTTGAAAATAAAAAGTAAATTTAATTAATATTTTTAAGTGGAGGTGACTAATTTATCAGTTTGAATCGAAAGTAAAACTTTTATTTTCAAAAAAAAATAATTAAACAAAAACCAAAAAGAAAATCTACGGGTTTTAAATTTCGATTCAAAACTGACCATTATAATTAGGAAATTAATTTTTTAGAATTAATAAAAAAAGTCAGAGGGAGAATAAGAAAACCTTATCAGATTTTGGTAAAAAATAATAAGTTTTAGTTAACGAGTTTTAAAAAATAGGTGAATTTTTAAAAAATTCCACAAAATAAAATACTCGACCACAAAAACTAAAGGTTCCGTTATCCAATCCCGATTTTAAAATAAAATTTGAAGGAAAACCTTCCATTTTGTGCTGTGGAATTTTGTGTTGTGGAAAACCTTTCATTTTGTGTTGTAGAATTAACGCTAATTTCCGTAATTTGTGTAAAAGAAGCTTCTGTAGATAAAGGTAAAGAAGCTAAAAAAATAAAATAATTTTTAGTCTAAAATAAATTTAAAAAACCATTCTGATTTAACTGTAAATCTTCTAGCGCTGTGTTAACATATTTAGCTAATTTACTTTTTATGTCCAAAACAGACCAAATAGAACCTTAAAAATTTGGGAAATAAACTGAAGTAAAACTAAAAGAGATTATTTTGAAGTCAGAAATAAATTAAATAATTATTTTAGCAAGGGAACCATTCAAACTGTAAGTCAAAATTTTGTACTTTTTTGGTACCAATCGATAGCAAGGGCGTATCCAGGGGGGGCTGGGGGGGGGGGGGCTAGAGCCCCCCCCCCCCCCCCCCGAAATGGGAAAAAGGAAAAAATTTGGGGAAGGGCTGGGGCAAAAAAAGTGAATTTTTTTGGCCTACGGCCTCTGAAATTTAAAAAATTTTCGCCTGCGGCGCCGAAAAAGTGAATTTTTTGGCCTACGGCCTTCTAAATTTTAAAAATTTTCGCCTGCGGCGCAAAAAAGTAAATTTTTCTGGCCTACGGCCTTCCAAAATTCAAAAAATTTTCGCCTGCGGCGCAGAAAAGATGAGAATTTATGTACAAAAAAATTTGCGTCCGGAACGCCAAGGTAAACGCCAAAAATTTTTGCGCCCACCCAGTGTTAGCCCCCCCCCCCCCGAAACCGACCCCCTGGATACGCCCTTGATCGATAGAGCATCATCGATTTACTCTTGCAAATTTTCGGCCTTTTTTCTAGGAATATGAAACTAAAAAGTTATGAGGCTTTAAAGTTTGCGAAAATTAGGATTTAATAAAAAAATACCTATAAGTATTGAAATAAATGCAAAACCCCAAAGAACAACGACGGCTGGGTCCATTGGAAATAAAGATTTTGGTTGATAAATTTTCAGTTGGCCAGTTTTAGAAAGCAACTAAAAAATAAATTAATTATTTTTTAAAAATAAAACCGGTTCAATTTCTTTCCAAAAATTGTTTTCATAAACATAAAAAACATTTAAAGATTTGTCTTTAATGCTATTAAGTTCAGCGTTGTAAAAAGAAGTAAACTAAAAAATAAAAAATTTATTTTAATTAAATTGGGTAAGAAAATTTTAATAAGGACAAAGGGAAATTTAATTTAAAATTAATTTTAAAAAATTAGAAAGCGATCCAGAAAGGATGAATTTTGACACAGGGAAGGTGGCCCTATCTAAAATTAATGCCGACAACCAATTTTTCTTAAAAGACAGCAAAATCAATGTGATTGAATAAGTTGGGACCTTACCACCAATATACTTTACTACAGCCGAAAAATTAACTTATTCTCCCCCATTCGAGGAGTAAAGGAAAAATTGGATGGCGGCAATAATTTCAGATAGGGCCGGGAAGGTTATTTAAATTAAATTTTTTAAACAAAAAAATAACCAAATAATTATGTAAATCATAAGCATTTTTCTTTCCCTTTTCAACAAAAAAAAGAATATTTTTAATAGAAGCAGCCATCATTATTTTAACCTAAAAAATATTTTAAAATTTATTTAAAATTAAAAAAACCTCATTTCTGACAGAATTTGGATCAGAATAATTAAATCCCGGTTGTTCACTGCATAATTTACGTAATTTGTTAATTTCAGTTATATAATCGGCTGGAACGATGGAATTTGAGGGAAATTTAAATTCATTATGTCCTTCACAAATGTTGGTATTATTTACTTTATTCCACCAAAAGAGATTAAAAATTGGCTAAAAAATTAGAAAAAAAGGAAATTTATTTAAAAATGTTAACAAAAATTTATTAATTCGAAAAAAATTAATTTTAAGATGAATTTTTATTAATTCCGGCAAAATTTATATTTATTAAATAGAGAATTAAATGAAGTATCTAATAAAAAAATTTTCCTAAAATGAATTTTTAACTGAGAAAATAGTTAATTTTCATTTCAGTTATTCTTGCCCCATTTTTATGTCGATGACTGTAAATTATTAATATTTTTAAATAAATATTGTTTCCCTGCTTTGTGAATTTCAACGAAAAAAAAATAAAAAAAGAAATTGAAGTTTAAAATTATATTTTATTAAAATTTATTTTTCTAATTAATTACCCCCAATTAAAAAATATTTAAATTTCAAAAAAATTAAAAGTTTACCGCCTCTTCAAAGGATGATGCCAATTCTTTTTGTTTCCATTGTTGATAATTTATACAAAATCTTTTTTCTTCCAAATTATTTTCATTAAGTAAAGAAAGAAAAGAATAACTAGATTCGTATTTATATTTTCGAGAATTGACAAAAGAAAACTTTAAAATAAATTTTAATTTAAAAATAAAATTCAAAATTCAAACCTTTAAACACAAAAGTAAAATATAAAATAAAGTAAAGAAATTTGTGTTGAACATTTAATTGGTTAATTAAATATAGGTAAGTAGCATATATTTTAAATAAATCTAAAATTTAATTTAAAAATTTTTTTAAAAAAATTAACAAAATGGGGAAATTAAAGAAAAATTCTTTTAACATCTTTCAATTAAAATTAAGAAAAAAATTTTCTATGAGTCATAGTAAAATCGTTTGCGTCTTTAAATAGATAAATATGTTTAAGAGTCTAGCTTCTCCAAAATATTGGTATTTCTATTAAGTAAAAGCAATTTTCTTGTGAGTAATCAAATAAAGAAAATTTGTTTCTAATGTAAATTTAATTTGATAGTTTTTCCGGTATATGTTCTTTCCAGATTGAAAAAAGGGAACTTCTCACCTTGTAAACAGATAAATTTTAAATCATGAAATAAAAAAGTACATTATTTTTTAGGAAATAATGGATTAATCCCTTTGGTATAAGCAAACTAGAATTTTAAATAAAAAAACATTAATAGCCAAATATTTATTAAACAAATATTATTGACATAGTAAATAATTTAAAATGAGGGAATTTTATAAAAAAAGTTTAAAATTTAATTTTGAACTAAAATTGAATTAGTAAATTTTGATACGGAAATAAAAATAAAATGTTTAAGATATTCGACAAATAAATTTATGTATAAGTCAAATTCTGAAAGAGGGAGGAATTAAACTATGTTATCATTTAACAATTGAGAATTTTGAAAAGAAAAAGTCGATTTAAGTATAAAATTTATTAATCAAAAAAACAATCATTAAAATACACAAAGGAGTTTTTAAATTATTTATAAAAAGAAGACAAAAATAAATAAAATAATTTAATGGGACACGCGGCGCAAAGCCATAACTTGCTGGAAAATTTCTAGATCTTAACAATTCTGGTACTAATCTCTTTAGCTGATGAGAGGAATTGTTTAATACAAATTTGTAAAAACTCGGAAATCTTGAAGCAAATTATGGCTTTGCGCCTACTTGGCTGCCCGCCTATTTAGGCTGTACCCCAATTTAATTATAATTAATTATATGTTTTTGTTTTTAAATTCAAATAAAAACAGATGAGAATATTTAAAAAAGCTTCTTTTTTGTTCTTTTTATTTTATAAAATTACCGCTATCAAAATTTAGTAATAGGTATATCCTGTTTTTCCTGTTATCCATTTATTTATAATCTGGAACATAAAAATATTAATTTATGGCTTATTTATTTCCTTCCTCCTCTAATAATTTATTAAAACAAATTAATCTTTTTAAATGATCTTTCCATAAAATATTAGCTTTTTTAAAAGGCTTATTTTGAAGAAGGCTTATTTATTTATTGCGCTACTCCAAATGTGTCCATCAATCAAAGGAAAAGGTTAATCATGAAATATAGGAAGTTAAAAAATATTGCTACTTATGCTCTAATTATGCTTGTCAATTAATTCTGGAAATAATAAATAAATTTATTTGGAATAATAATGGAAATATTTAATTACATAAATAATAATCTAAAATTTTTAGAAATATATATTATTTTTTAAATAAAAAATTAAATTTATAAATTAAAATCTAGTTATTTGAACAGTCAATTTATGTAGTGCTTTGACTCAACTCGAAAACGGCAACCCTAGTTTTGAGTAAATCACTTTTGTGATTTTTGAACAAAAATAATTGATGATAGAAATTAACAATACGAGTCAGGCAGATAGAATTTTCCCATTTTATATAAGTAACTAACTCAACATTCCCTAACTTCAATTTTCTCCAAAATTAAATATTTTTTTAGTTTCTCACATTTAGGTTTAGTGTAGTTTATTTATTTAATAAAAAATAAAATTAATAATTATTTAATTTAGTATTTGTTTTGTATTTATTTTTAAAAAATATTGTGTCCTTCTATTTTTTTATTAACTTTTTATTGAATACCAATCACTCAAAAACATTTTTCTTTTCACAATGTCATTGTTGCGCATCATTTATTCAATCGTTATTTTTGTAAAAATGTCTTCTTTTCTCAAAAAATTAAAGAAAATAATTAAAAATATTTTTTGGTAGTAACTTGTTTTTTGTGTATGTTTAATAAAATATTTTTAAAATAATTTTAAATTAATTCCTTTAACATTTTTTGTTTTTTTAACTTTTATAATTTTAAATTTAGATACTAATGTTAACTCAAAATTTCTTTTTAAATATTATTTTTATAATTTTAATATCTAAATATTTTTGTCAATGTAATAATCAAAATTTAACATTTCCCCAACAAAATTCAACAAAAAATATTTTTGAAATTAAAAACGGAAATAATAATAATACATTAATAGAGACAACAACTGAAAATTTAAAAGAAGAAGAAGAACCTGCTTGGGCTTGTGGTACAGATGCTTTTATTCAAGTAAATAAATTAATTAATATTTAAATTTTAATATAATTTCTTTCTTTAGATGATTGCCGAATCGACAATTGAAAAAGATTGTCCAGACAAAAAACGTAAATAAATTTTAACGAGTAAAGTGTTAATTATTTTTATTTCTGTTTTTTAAAATAAAAAAAAATAAATTTTGTGTATATATTTTGACAAAAATTGTAGAATTTACATAAAATCAAAGAAAATTCAATTCAACTTTAATTTTACATTAAATACCAAAAAACTAAAAATTCTCTAAAACTAATTAAAATTTTATTTAATTTAAAGGTCCAATTAATAATTGTTGTGTTAGTCATGATAGGTTAGAATATTTTAAAAGAATTTTAAAAATATATTTTTATTTAGTTGTTATGATGACCAAAAAGGACGTAAATATTGTGATGATATTTTTTGTGAATGTTTGGAAGTAAATTAATTTTTATTTAAAAAATAATTTATTTAATTTAGATAGCTTCTGCTGGGAGTGAAGAATGCTCTAAAGTTGATACAAAAATGTTTTGTGATTTAGTGAGAGAATTTGGGCAGTCTTTTTACAATGCTTCTGTAAATGCGACAAATAGTACACCTTCAACAATAAATAATAGGTGAACAATTAATTTTTAAATAAAAAGAGTAAATAAAATAATCTTCTGAATGAAAAATAAACTTTAATTTAAAGGTACGAAAAAGTATCTTTTTTTAATCTTGAGAAATCATTTTTAAAATATTTTTTAAATTTATTAAATATTTTGTTTGAAATTCTTTAATATCTACATAAATTTATTTATTTTTAAATTTAACAGAATAGAAATAACTACACCAACAAACACAAAACCAAATAATGTTTCTAACAAAATAGACAACAAAACAATTCCGATTAAAAGGATATACTAAAATATATTTATTTATTTGTTAATTTTAAAGAGAATAACCGGTAGATATTAATTGACTAATTATTATTATTTTGTGAAGAATATTTGTATTTAAATAAAAATAATTTTTTTTTCTTTTCTTCCTTCCCTACTAAGAAAATGATAATAAATTGTCCATGGTATGTAAAAGAATACTAAAAATTAAGAATACAACTAAAATTCAATTTCGCCCAGTCTTGTTAATTTAGCGAGGAAAATATTTAAATAAATCAAAAAAGTATTTATTTGCAAAATTAAAGCAAAAAATAAATAAAAATTATTTATGCAAAAAATATTTAAAACTAATTTAGCTTTAAATTTAATTTTTGATTTCTCTAAAATTCTCTGATGGCAGTTAACAGATTTACAAACAGACAAAAAATTTCTCCAAAAATTCTAAAATTATATACAAAAAAATATTTAAAAAATTATTTTTCTAAAAAAGGTATAATTTAGCTATTTTGAGAATCAGTTGATTTTATAGCGAATTTCGCTAAAAATAATTATTTTTAGGGTTTAAATGTGTGTATCTAATATGTATGTAAAATAATAAAACGTTAACATAAGTGGTCGGAGTTATTATTCTGCTAAAAATTCAAAATAAGAGAAAAATTAATAAAAAATAAAAAAAAAGTTTCATAAAAAGTAATTTTTGCTATAAAATTTAATTTTTGCTTTATTTCTCTAAAATTCTTTGTCGGGAATTAACAGATTTACAAACAAACAAACAAAAAATTTTCCTTAAAAATACCAAAGCCCACCAAAATAAAATATCTTGCCAAAATATTTTTAAAAAATATTATCCCAAAATTTAAATTAAATAATTAAATTAAAAATGAAAATTCACAATTTCTTTTTAAATATTATTTTAATTCAATTATTTATTTATTTTTGTCAAAGTAATGAACAAAATTCAGGAACAACAGCACAACCTGAATGGGAATGTGGCACAGATAATTTTACAAAAGTATTTAAATTTATTTAAGTAAATCCTTTGAAATTTTATAATTTAATTATTTTAGGAATTAGCTAAGAAAACAATTCAATTAACATGCCCAAACGATAAGAGTAAATTTTTAAAATTATATAAATAAATAATTATTTAATTTGGAATTTTTATATTTTATAATTTTTGAATTTGAAAATATTAAACAATTTAAAATAAATACAATTTAGCTCAAATAAACGCTTGTTGTATTAACCACGACAGGTTGCCTTTTTATTAATTTAAATATTTTTTATAAATAGTAATTTGAAGAAATTGAGAATGATTCTTTATTTAATTCCCTTGTCTAAATTTTAATTCACTAAGGAAGTATTTGAGAGCCAAAATGGCAAAATAAATTTTCTGAACATTCGCTAATTTCATATAAAATTCGAAATATGTTAGCCAAATATTCAAAATTAATATTGGGTTTTCTAAATAAGCAGAATTATTATTATTTATGTGAATATAATCAAATAGAATTAGAAAATAAAATATTTAAATGAAAATCGAGAAAAATATACCAATAAATATTTTATATATTTATATTTAAATTGAAAATAATTTATCAGTTGCTATGACCAGCAGAATGGGCGTAAAAATTGTGATGATAATTTCTGTGGATGTTTAAAGGTTTGGAGAATTTAAAAATATTAAATTAAAAAATTAAATTTATTTTTATTATTAACAAAATTTTTGAGCAAACTTTAATATAATAAAAAATTAAAATAAAAAATTTAATTAGAATGCCACTTATGGAAACAAGGAATGTTCTACTGATGGCAAATTATTTTGTAAAGCGGTAAATGTATTTGGGGGACCTGCCTACAAAGCTGCAGGAAAGCAAAAAACAACAACTACCTCATCACCGGCAAATGGTATTCAAAATATTTTTTTAATTTTTATTTTTAAAATTTAGATAGTGAAGGCTGTAAATGAGAATTTTGAATTATGTTTAGCATTAAATTTTGAATAGTTTTTATCAAGATAATTTAATATTAATTTCTAATTTTCTAAACTTTATTTTATATTCCTAAAAAATTAAACAAAATTTAAAATGGGTAAAAATTGCATTAAAGATGTAAAATACAAATTTATTAAAGTATACTTAAATATATCTATATATATATTAAAATATTTCAAAATATTTTTTTCAAATTAATTCTTAATTTTTTTATTACTCCCAATGAAGATTTACCGAGAAAGTATTTTATACAAATAAAAAAAAATTTTTTTAAAAGGTATTATCTCGCAATTTTGTGATTCATTTAATTTTATATCGAATTTTACTAGAAATGATTATTCTTAGGTTTTCTATGTATCATCGGCGATTATAAGAAAATAAATTCCTTTGCAAATTCAATTATTAGCTTTAAATTTTTATTTTAAAGTTTCGATTTTTTCTCTAAAATTCTCTGACGGCAATTAACAGATTTACAAACAAACCAAAAAAAATTTCCTTAAAAATACCAAAATTCACCAAACTAAAATATTCTTCAAACTACAGGATTTTACTAATTATAGAAGAATTAATATTACTGACTTAAAAAATAATTTAATAATAAAAAGGTAAATTTTCATCTCGATTGTTACCCATATAATTAATTAAATTAAAAATGATAATTCAGAATTTCTTTTTAAATATTATTTTAATTCAATTATTTATTTATTTTTGTCAGAGTTATTATCAAAATTTAATATTTTTACCAAACAAAAATAATTATTTAAAAGAAACTCCTTGGGCTTGTGGAGCTACAGGAGGAGTTTCGGAAGTAAATTAATATTTTATAGAAATCTGAATATTATTTTTATCATTTAAGAAGATTTCTAAATGGTTTGTTAAAGCAACCTGTTCAAAACATAAATGTAAATATTTAATTAATATTTTTACTTATAATCAGTTTACCTATTATTAAAAATAATTAATTATAAATTATTGAATAATTAAATATTTTATTTTAAAATTTTTTTTATAAATTTCTAATTTAGAATTAATGAATTTATTTGTTTTCTAGATTGCCCACAATAATTAATTATAAAATATATTTTAATTATAAAATAATTTTTTCTAAATACTATAGGTAACATCAACAATTGCTGCATTAACCACGATAAGTTGAAATTAAATTGGTTAAAATTCTCTAAATTTAATTTTATTAGTTGCTATAATAGGCAGCATGGGCGTAAAGGTTGTGATTATTATTTCTGTAAATGTTTAAAGGTAAATAAAATTCAAGAAATATATTAGGGAATTTAAATCATACCCCTTAACATGCTAAATTTAAAATTTAAACAGGCAATCTCTACTAAAAGTACCAAATGTTCTAATATTATTAACTCATTCTGTACAGCTGTAAAATTGTTTGGCAAAAAAGCTTACAAGAATGCGGCAAAAGATAAATATAAACCTTGTAAAATACCAAACAGTAAGTGAAATAATTTAAAAAATAAATTTTAATATTTTTGTTACAAATAATATCGAAAAATTAAAAAAAAAAGTATTTTGTCAATATGTGAAGCATTATTTTTTGCTTAGCTGACTGAAATTAAGGTTAACTAGAATACCCGTAATTAACAATCATATAATTTCCATTATCCACAATCAAAGCTTCACTAAATAAAAATATAAGTTTTCCATAAAATCGTTTTATTTTAAAGATTGTGAAAATATAAATTGAATATACATAATGAACAAATAAAATTAGGTAATTTAATTCCCAACACAGCAGTCCGGTCTACTGAAGATGCTGGATCACTCCCAGCCGTCGAATAATCTTTTGCACTAGTTGAAGGAGTGAAATTTCTATAGCCCAGTTCTGTTTTACTATATTTTTAATTGGCTTTTAATAAACATTTAAGAATATTAGTATATGTACATATATGTATATATTTTATATCAGATAAAATTAATAAAATTTAAATTTAATTATTTAATAAATGTAACAAAATAATTTGCAATTATTTAAAGTTTTATCATTTTTCCATCAAAATTTCTTTCACTAATTTTTGATTTACAAATTGTATTTAATGGAATTGAAGAATTAGTAGAAGAAATATTAAATAAATTTATTTAAATTAATTTTTTCATTTTTATTTAACCGTTTCTAATAATTTTTCTTGCCTCGTGGCCTTCCAAAATTTGCTCAATTTTCGTCTGCGGAGCCAAAAAAGGAAAAAAAACTGTCAACGAAATACAGAGTAATTATGCCGCGATGCCAAACGTACATTTGCCAAAAAAGTTTTTATCTCGCCATTTTGTGATTCATTTGATTTTATATCGAATTTTACTGAAATGAATATTTTTAGTTTTATTTGTATCATCGACGATTATAAGACAATAAATTCTTTACAAATTCAATTATTAGCTTTAAATTTTTTATTTTAAACTTTCGATTTATTTTGCTAAAATTCTCTGACGGAATTAACAGATTTACAAACAAACAATTTCTTAAAAAATTCTAAAATTATATACAAAAAAATATTTAAAAATTATTTTTCTAAAAAAGGTATAATTTAGCTATTTTGAGAATCAGTTGATTTTATAGCGAATTTCGCTAAAAATAATTATTTTTAGGTTTTAAATGTATGCAGTGGTGGGCCTCGTCCCGCAAAATACAAGACACGATATTCACAAGATACGAGATAAAATTCTCTGACGGCAATGAACAGATTTACAAACAAACAAAAAAAATTTTTCTTCAAAATACCAAAAT